GTTGAAGATGGTTTATCTGTTCATGGGGAAAGTTGTACAAAGATTCTTCATAGCTCTAACATTTTTTTTTAATTTTTTATGTTAGAAGAAGCACCCACACCCACCCACAAGTGGATAGTTCTAGTGTCTACCTTAGGAGTTAAAAAATCAGATTAGAGTTTTAGTCACCGGACTCATAACAACAACAAATATGAAGAGGCATCCGAGAATGACTCTGTCTCTAAACAAGCTAACGCTTTCATGATAGCAAGCAAAAGAGAGATAATAGTTATGAGGACACTGTAGGAAAGCTCGATACTACTTTATCAGCCTTACTTGAGGTTTACTAGCCTCAACCAATTAAAGCAGTTATTATACTTTGTTTCCCTCGGAAACGTTTCAGACCTCCCGGTGAGGGAAAAGCCATCCAACTCCTCCTTTCCGAACACTCTGAGTGACCTACAGGGTGAATGTATTGAAACGTCAATTACAGTGAGAAGGTGGTACTTCTACTATAACACCTCCAATTAAAAGAGTTGTACAGGGCTCTACAGCCTAGGGCATTCAATTAGCTGACTTGACTATAATACCGACTGAAAAAGGACAATAATCGCGGTGAATGTTATGTTTATTTCACCTTAATGTTATCTATAAAATTTCACAAGTCCTCTCATACATATAAACAAAAAATGTTATTGTATCAAAACTTTCTCCTCAGTTGATCGTAGAGAATATTGGTGAGATGTTCACGGTGATAAATAATCAGCACCATAATTAATATTAACACACATGTTACGGATTCCCGACGAAACACGTTTCAGGAAATCTGCGCTACGACTCCCCTCCCCCCCACCGCCGCCGCTCAATCCCCTCGGACCCCCTACAACCCCCATCTCAGGGGAGGGGGTCGCGGTCTCAGGAACCACGAGGCTGTTAGAAGTAATCGTAAAGGGTTGTAAAGTGTTGCAACTTAAAGACAGCCTTAACGGTGGTCGCGGTCGAGTGTCGCGCTTTATACCTTCCTGTAATTAAGTTTGGCAGTTTGGGAAAAGGAATTAGGATTACTGAGTGACGGAGATGAGGAGAGGAGACATTCATGTTACGACTGTTGTTACACGGAGTTGTCTTGAATCATTACATACTTATGTACTATATATGTGTAAATGGAAAATACATATAATAATATGATGAGATTTAAGACTTTCGCGAGTATAAATCTAAATGAAACTAATATTATTCGGATTACTACGCGTATTTTATTATTTTAAAATTACAATCTCCTTACGTTTCAGTCACTTTTCAGCAACTGTGATTTCGTTTGCCCGTGATCGGGGTTGCTGAAAAGTGACTGAAACGATAAGAGTATGTAGTTTTTAAAATAATAACATACGCGTGGAAATGCGAATAATATTACGATTATAAAAATATAAATGCCAACATCCGAGTGTCTTCAGAACACACGTACACACATCTTCATATAAAATACTCACACAACTATACGTAAGTCTTCTATATACACACGTTATCGTCTAAACCTTCCCGTTGGCTCCTCGTTAACGCTCCCCCGGGACAGACACAGATTTAACCCGGATAATTGTCCCGGGTATAATTGTCCTGGCATAATCGTGCCGGGTATAATTGTACCGGCAAAATTGTTATTGGCTACTTCGGCGTTTGCGAGCTCGTCAACTTTGAAATGTAAATTTATCTGCGGTTAAGATGTTAGATACGATTTAACTGGAACATTTGGAATTCATAAAACGTTCCTTATTATAACAACGATTGGTTAATGTTACAAATCTGGTTTTTGTCTTAATTACTATTGAGTGACAGAGTGTAATTTACCTAGGTATGTGTATATTTAGTTAGTCGTCACTGTATAATCTCTTAAATTCTTACTTTAGCATTTCATTTTATAACAGTATATTGTATGTTCATATATAATATATATGTTTTATTTACCTTAACTTCCCAGTCATATACCTATCAAGTGTGACTTATTGTTAGAATGTTCAATCAGTTACACTTATCCATTCACAGCGCTGTTTCATATTATTATTATATTCATCAATAATAATACCTATTATATGCGTGACACAAGAATTAACAATATATAAATATGTATTATACATTCTAAATATATGTAGAATGGAATCAAAGAACAATGTTCATCAGTTACAATAAATAGTGAAAGATAAAATACAAGTTTGTACAACAATGGAACAGATTAAACGGGAAAGTATATTAGGTCGTGCGTTACAATAGGAAAACTGTTTTCCACTCTCCGCTAAACGCCTACAAACCCCACGGCTATGTATTTAGAGGAACCCGATGTAGATTCAGGGGAACGCGAGCCAATTCGAGCTTTATATATAGGACATAGAGTCTATAATAAATGGTGAGGCCGGCGGGTCGTTAAGTGGTGAATTGATTGCGACCATAACTCTCTCGCGGCAGAGTTGATGTTCGGTTGTTAGTTGAATAAGGTTTGCTTATCGACGACTCCGCTCACATACAGCCCGTACTCGTGTGACGCAGGCTCAAAACATATCATATGTGATAGTTGAAATCATTCAAAGATCTCCTGATGATATTATATTAGGAATAGATCGACGAAGAGTATCAATAATAAGGTTAAGAAAATTACTGAATAGGTATTATTTCAATAGAAGCTTACTATTAATCATGTTTTAAGCTAAACTGAGTTTATTACATATATCTTTATCTCAACACATCAACTTAATAACATTAATACAGCCGTCTGTAGGCTACACGCGACAGAGCCGGCCGACTAGTTCCACAAAGCAATTCTCATGTACCATAAAGCATATAAATAGCGCCATACATCACAGGACGGTCGTACTGAACGTCTGTCCGTACAAATAAACTATCCCCACATTAATATTAATGAAGCATCACATTAGCCCCGTCTTTAAATGTTTTAACTTCATCATCGTCCGTTTAACGATGCTGTCAGATCTACCTCACTGCTCACCAGCTGTCATAACTGTGATACAACTAATATACGTCATTACAACTATAATTAGTCACTAATAAATCTCCACCTTCTTATGATGGTATAGTTTAAACGATGAAGACAACACTCTGAACACACGGTTGATCACAGTGATATGAAAATATTTGTGGATCGTTTTATATTACTTATCATATATAGGAAAAGTATAAAGAAACTATGAAGAAACATAATGTTATGCAATAAAGGGAAAATATGTGTTACATAGCGGGTACATTAACCATTAATTTTTAATATCAATTTAAAGCTTTCGGTAGTAAAAAATTCTAAAATTTAAGACAATGGTGAACTTAAAATTCAGCAATCAGCATGTCCCTTTTTATACATAATAATCAGGTTTCATGTCTACTCAGTAATAGTCCATCCAGTCCTATAATAGAACCGTCAAGACAACAATCGGTCACTTTACGGTCCTTCTGAACGTACTCCAATATAAAATATGTAACACGATTATTAAAGGAAGCGTCGACTTGACATAATTATATTAAACAGACTCACAATAATGATATCATTGACAGATATAAAACAACAATAAAATGAAACGGGATGCGAGGGGTGGGGGGCGGGGGGCGGGGGGCGAGGGGCGAGGGACATTCTATTGTTATATTTTTCATCGCGAATAAATGTTTTGATGAAGCGACCGGGAGTGCTCCCCGGGGAGGGAGGAGGAGGGAGGAGGAGGGAGCGGGGAGGAGAGGATGATATGAAATGAAAATAATGATAAAAACGTTGGCACAGAGGGAGCGGAGTTTTGAACGAATCAAATTCCAACAAATACATTCATAGATATGAGAACACACGATTTTAATACTATGACACATGCTAGTTACAATATTAAACATGAAATACATTTATTATTAGATACGTGTACAAAGAGAGGTCCTCAAGTCTCATTAGTAGATTAATTTATGTTTAGGAGAGAGGTTTTTAAGATAACATGCATATGAAACAACATTTTAACTGCAATTATACATATAATAACTAATATAATCACTTCAAGTAACACATTGTAGGTATAATATTTTATTCCATAAACAAGACTATTCATATATTCCCCAACAATTCTGTGATTAATTTCCATACAGACATGACTACGTGTTAAATATTATAATGAACAGTACATGAGTGAGCCGACAACACAGATACTGTAATTAGCGACACTAATTACATGGATCGATATTAACAGGCGAGTGATGTATGGCGCGACTAGTGTTGCCCGGTGTACGATACTCGCCTTATATAGCATTTATAACAGTTAAAACTATACTCAATTTGTATTATTAACTTATTGTTTTGTGTTCTTAAGATATTTCTCTGAAATTATTGATATAAATCCCTACTAATATTATAAATGCGAAAGTAACTCTGTCTGTCTGTCTGTCTGTCTGTCTGCTACGCTTTCACGCCTAAACCACTGAACTGATTTTAATGAAATTCGGTACAGAGATAGAGTTGACCTTGAGAAAGAACATAGGATAGTTTTTATCCCAGACTTTTGAAAGGTTCTCTTGGAAACGCGATATAACCGAACTCCACGCGGCGAAGCTGCGGGCGGAAAGCTAGTCCCTACTAATATTATAAATGCGAAAGTAACTCTGTCTGTCTGTCTGTCTGTCTGTCTGTCTGTCTGCTACGCTTTCACGCCTAAACCACTGAACTGATTTTAATGAAATTCGGTACAGAGATAGAGTTGACCTTGAGAAAGAACATAGGATAGTTTTTATCCCAGACTTTTGAAAGGTTCTCTTGGAAACGCGATATAACCGAACTCCACGCGGCGAAGCTGCGGGCGGAAAGCTAGTTTTAAATATAACGAAAAATAAAAGTACCAAAAGACTTAGTGAAATGATCATTGTTTTTAAAAGACTCGAGACTCGTAAAATACAATCATATTCTGTGATCTTCTAAGCTAAGTTTTTGTCAAATAATTGTAAATGAACAACTCTAGAAGTGAGACTAAAGTATTCAGGGCTTTATAATGTCGCAGTGAGTAACGGCGCGCTGTCGGCGTGCGGCGGGCAGGGTCTGGACAAGGAGGGCAAGAAGAAACACACCAGACCCACCTTCAGCGGACAACAGATCTTCGCCCTGGAGAAGACCTTCGAACAGACCAAATACCTCGCGGGGCCCGAGAGAGCCAAGCTGGCCTACGCTCTGGGCATGACCGAGTCACAAGTTAAGGTAACGTAACTCATTATCATATGTATTATATTCTGATCTAACTAGTCAATAATAATGATTAAGAAACTAATATTTTCGAATTACTAAACATCTCGTCTGCCCGTGATCACGGTTGCTGCAAAGTAACTGAATCCTCGCGAGTATGTAGTTTTTACAATAATAAAATACGCGAAGTAATCCGAATAATATTAGTTTCATTTAAATGAATACTCGCGAAAGTTCTAAATCTCAAGAATGATTATGTGTGATGAAAGTTTTTATTTCGATTTAATTAAAAGATACTTGCCACACTAGTGATTTTTCTTATTCTTATTTTATCAATTAAAATATAATAACATATGTATAAGTACAAGTTATATGATTACGTATTTATCTGTGTGGTAGTTTGTACCATCTCGGAACAGAGACATTCCAACATTTACTATAAATGTATATTCATGTACATCGGATTGTGTCTCTTAATATTTAAATGATCATTTAACTTTTACCAAATTGAATTATTCAATAACCATCTGACTGTATGTGAGAACGTGTCATTCAATTACGGGCCGCGCGTTACGTACCACACTTACTATAAATTAGTATTAACGGAAAAACTATTAAACTTACGTCAGATTATAATAAAATTATCATAGAGACTGGGATCGAGTAAGATTAAATTCATTTAATTGCCAGCGAGTGCCTTCATATGAAAGTTTGTACGGTGTGGTGTGACTGTGACGTTAAACATTTCAAACAATAAATTCCGGAGCCGGCTCCGTCCGAACAAATGAGTACAACAATAAACTTTTAACATTAACTAACAGCTACTAGAGGCGGAGGGTGACTACACCTACACCGGCCCTCGTAAACTGCGCCAAATAGCTCACATGCCATATGTGAAACACATTCACGCTGTAATCACTCTAGACGTGTGTACATAAGGGCCAGAGTCGCTCGTATGTGAGGATGAATCGCGTCGCCCGGTAATCGGATTAGGGTGATTGAAAAGTCAATCACTTAGTCGCGGCGCAATCAAACGATTCGCTCTATTAGTGTGGATTAAGAGCGCGACATGTGGACTGACAGACTTTGTTTAGGAAACTGATCTCACTGATACGAGCGAGCTATCACATGCACGATACATGGAGCGTGGAGCATGGAGCATGGAGCATGGGGCAGCCTTGACGATCATTACTACACTTATATTAATGAACGACACTACACTACAACAGATCTGATACAGAAACTTATTAGATACATGTACCTACATGAAATAAATTACTTAGAAGGACACTACTACTTGTTTAGATTAAACAATTTCAACTATTTTTGTACAATAAAATAAATGCGAATTTATTAATTTATAATGCAAAATATTATTATTAGTTATTTAAAACGATCGTCTCAAAACTATCAAATACAAATTCCCCTATTAAAAGCTCTTCGTACTAAATGTATCACCGTTTAACCGAACAAAAGAGGCGAAAAAGTGCACCATTTGATTTTAAACTAATTACCCTTATCTCCCCTCGGGTAAGGATCGCTAAACGTCAAAGACATTAGGGAATATTATGAACAGTAAACAAGCGAATTAAAAACGTACATTGCGAGCTGTGTATTGAACGTGAAAACTTAATATCACTTCTGAGGGGTAATGGATGTGTGTGAACGGTCTCTGTTGTGTGTTGTATAGTGTAGGGTCGTGTGGTAGGGTGGGGAGCCCGGCGCGGCGCTGGATGCGGTCGCCCTGTTAAAGGGATGCTTATTAAATTTTCTGTTTTGTGAATTCAAACCCGTCATAATATAAACCGTAATATGGAGACACAAACCCGGCTCCTGTACGAGCTCACATTGACATAAAAATAATATTATAGATGGAGATGATATGTAACAAAAATCAGATAATAAACAAAAAGGGCGCTCGGCTCCGGGGTGAATGTTAAAATGAAATGGAAATCAATTAGATTATTTATGGACGGAGTGATTCGATTTAAACTAATTTGATTGTGACGCCGTTCACTGCGCTAAGAGCATATCAGAAAGATGAAGTGTCACGGAGATGTACAGCGACACACGAGCTTGTGTACTAGAGCGGCCCGGACACTACGACAGTTAGCGAATAACACGAGGGGCTTCAATAACTCACGGATTATAATATAGGGGCTAATAAAGAACTATAGATATAACAAAACAATATCTTTTATTAAAACATAATTTTGATTGTTTGCTTAATAATTTTATTAAGAAAGTCACTACACAATAGAATCGTACTTAACGTGAAGACAAATGATGTCAAATAATAAAATCACGTATGTAATATCGAAACATTTGTGATATATCAAAGTTTAATGTAATATCATTGAATGTTAAGCGACGACCAAATGAACTGACGATAATACGATCAATGTATTGTGAGTTATGACGCGCTCGGGTGAACTCACAAAACACATTTATAATAACAAAATATACACTCAGTACGTATTAAATATAATACCTATATTAACTGTTTTTTACTACAAGAGAGAGCTCTAATAATATATTCGCTGTAAAATTAAACGAATGTCCAATTACAAGCAGACACACATTCAGTTTAACGTGAACGAGCCATAATCTAGCGCCAAATACGCTCACTACGACTCTTAGTTGCAAATTGAGCTCAAAAGGCTATCCGCCAATAGGTGCATTCACCGAGCACACAAACAAACTATCATGCATGCTATATTGAACTCTATACGTACGTAATAAAGTCCACATGAAGTGTTCGCGGCTGGTATGGGTCCCCCGGTGTCATAGCTCATTTGGCATTCGATTGAATTAATCCGAGGGTAGGATCGTAGGGCGAGTGTTTACACATGTGTCGTGCCCCGGCGCTGCTCGCGGTCCGCGCCGCTCTGCTTGCACAATTAATTGTATCAATACATTGTTTATTCTCTAATGTCATTGTTATGTGAGGGGCGTTCAGCCTGTGTTATAAAGCTACAAATTTGTTTAAACACGTACATCTTATTTGCAGAGTATATTATCTTTCTGCATTATAGTCATTTTATCTTCATATTGAATATAATTAATTGCATAATTGTGTAAATCGAGCGATATCTTGTGAATGTTTAATCTTTAATAAAAACGTCTCTCTAGTAGTGTTGTGTCGTGACAGAGTTACGAGTATGTACAGAGCCGGCGTGTGATGTGTTTATGTTAATTACTATGAGTGTGAGCGACGGTTACTGCGACACTGTAAGTACACAGTATTAACGTTTTATATGAGACTCGCTCACACACATATACATAACATTAGAACAATATGACCTATGTATGTAGGTACGATGCATCAAAGTGTTAAAATATTAAGTATATTATTAATAATATTTAATGTTTTTAATCTATCATTCGTAAGGGACTGTAATAAATGATCATATTAATATATAATTAAGACAAACATTATCCTCAAATGAAAATATAATTCAATAATGTTGCACAACACTTTAACTGACAAAAAATCTCATAAGTCATACAATTAAATTAGATATCGCACCCTACAAGACGGACGAGTGTCGCGGGACAGGGGGTTGGGGGTTGGCGGGGGTTGGGGGTCGGCGGGGGTCGCAGGGGGTCCGGGATATATAATGTTATCTGATGGATGTTATAATTCAATTTTAATGTTTTCACAACAGCTCTCCGCGCTAGCGTGACGCCTTTTAATTTATCTTAATCGGCATACAATTTGCATGGAGCTCCCTGACGAGCTTTGATCGATGGAACTGGTTCACGGTTCACAGTCAGCTCTGTGATGTACGAGGCGACGGCTCCAGGGCGAGGGCTATTAATGATGTGAGAACGAGTCAGACTTACTAGTGGCGGTTATTGTTTTAATGACGTTTGATTATAATCATAATATACTTAATTATTCATCCAGTTTGAATTGATTTTATTTTTATACACAGTTCTTCTACCCGGCAATTTCCCAGCTTTTAGCCAGGGTCTGCCTTTCATGTTGTGAAAAGTTTTGGCTAATTGTTTTAAGACCGGCCGTCTGCTGACAGCAACCCTCTTTGGGAATGCATTAATCAGTGATGCCTAAATACTCTTAGAAAGTACAAATGACTGGGAAAAATCACATTGGTACTTGCCAGGGCCAGGATCGAACCCACGCCCTTATGCATGAGAGGCGTGCCTTTTAACCACTAGGTCACCACTGACTATGACTGACTATTACACACAGTATCTAACAAAACATCTTATTTCGGCTTTTATTACTATCTAACACATCCTTATATTATAATGCCTCCTATAACTAAACCAACTGTTCCTCGCGCATTCTACATATGTGTCTCCTAGAGATGTTGTCTTCTAATCATTCTCAGCTTGTCGTTATGATCTCACTAACTCCTCTAGTCATCCGTTACATATGAACGCTTCCTCGTCAAGTGTCATATCTGTAGGTACTGTGTGTGTGTGTGTGTGTGTGTGTGTGTGTGTGTGTGTGTATGTTTGTTCAGTCCGCCGCCGGCGTCATGTCCCTCGCAGCTCCCGTCTCCATCATCGAGCCAATACGTCGTCATCCACATAATACAGCCTGACGTTACTAATTCACGCCTAAATCTATTCCACAGATTCATGCACCCCGTGTCGGTGACGTGTCCTCTAACTATACACCTTATGTCTAGTGTGTAAGGTCGACAGTCGCTCGTGGCGTGTAGAGTAATCAATCGATCGCGCGATGACGGGCGAGCGAACGTTAATCGCCGGTCATCAATCGAATGTATGACTGAATGTTTCGGTCGCGAATGTATTTTTCACGATGACTGTTAGATGTGTGGACCGCGGAGGGAATGAAACATGGCCGCGTCTTGAGGCCCGGTAACGCGGGATTAATTGACGCCCCCGAGACGTGAGCGGCGTGATTAAAGTTCAGGCGATTACTGACATCCATCAACATCTGTACTTACTGGTAATGACGACGGCTCCGGCACTCACACTTACATGGCTGTACGGAACTTTCCATACACACACACAAACCA